TCCGCAGAGGGGCTCGGCCCCCGCGGTCACCCGGCCCCCGCGGTCACCCGTGCACCAGGTTGGGTTCACCCGAGGCCGCACTGTTGAAGGAAATAAACGTAAACGTGTGCGCAACAACGCTTCTTCCAAGCACCGATGTTCTGAACACAACCCCTCCGACAGCAGGAACATGGCATTGTGAGTGACGTCCACCATAGTAAAGGAAGTGCCAGGGTCTCAAAACACACAAGTGTACCCCAGGCAGCTGGTGCTGGGGTTTTAATGCATAGTTAAAATACCACTTCACACCCTTACCTTGAAAAATGCAGCCTGGAGAAACAGTCATTCAAAACCTTTATTTGCTAACTTTATTACAACAGGAGGCACCTACTTTGTGTATCTCAGGGCTGGAGTTTCAGCAACGATTACCCCTTTTCCACTACAGATTTATAAGCCAGCAGTAACACTTAGGGAAAACACCCCAAAGACAGCCCACTGACTTGCAGCATTAGTTTTAAACTGTATCAAGGGTCTGCTGTGCTGCTGCATATCCTAATGTTCTCACACACCATTCTGCTTTGTAGCCTCTAAGAGAAAGAAAGAAAACCAGGGCTCCTGCTCCGTGAGCAACGTGAGGTGAAGGAATGTAACATGCAGCCTTGAGGCTGGGTTAAGTAAGGAAAAGTGCTGGGAAACAGGAAGAGTGGCATGCGCTCCCCGGGAGAGCTGCAGCTGAACAGCTCACCCCCGCGGAGTAAGCAGCCTCCAGCCTACACAGCATTAGCCCCACACTTACTACAGCGTGTAGGAAACTTGAGTCTGCACAAATCACGCTGCTTTGCAGGGCCCTCATCTGAACACGACGTGCCTCTGCCTGGTGCCAGAGGCCACCTGAGGGTCACACAACGGCCCTGGCAGTTTGCATCCATCCAGATCTGGGGACTGACAATGGATCAAGAGAGTTCAGCAGCTCCTACCTTCTCCATTCATCCTTCTTTCCTGGGCAGTCTGAGCTACAGGTAGTATTAAATACCGACAACACTGGTTATGCCCTCCCGCAGCCCTGCAAGAACATTGACTTCAGCACTGATAATTCTGCCAGTTTGTGTTACCTGTGGCACTCTGAAGTACTGAACACTCCAGCAGTTACACCCAGCAGTACCACAGAAATGCAGGGATGAGGAATAGATTTTACCAGCGCTAAGCTGATACTTTGTCTTTCAACCCTGAGAAAAAGTTACCTAATATCCACTGTCAGGCAATAGAACTAAGTTTCACTCTGAGTACAGGAGCTTCATTTACCTTCATCATGTAATGAAGGACTCTGATCTGACCACTGCTATGGGTAGAAATACTTAACTGCCACAGAACCAGTAACTTGATATTAGCATCTGCAGTGCAGCTTCAGACTGCTCTAGCCAAAACCTACAGTCCACAATGCACCTTTTGTTTCTTCTATCCTTTGCAAAATTCTTAACCAAACTGTAACAAACTTTGTAACCATTAGAACAGACCATCATCCTTCTACCTCACTCCCTATTCATCTCTATGCCAAACCCCTCATTCGTTCAGAAAAAAAAGATGGGGAAAGGAACACCCAGGAAAGGATGGGGTGTTTCCTCGGGAAGTGCAGACCACATTGAACATCTCTGCAGACGGATCACATTTGTCCACCAGCTGAGAATTCAAAGAGCAGCCACGCTGCCCAGACCGTGTCATTGGTTAATGGGTTGCCAACTGGATCCTCCAGAACCTGAAAGACACAGAAAGGAGTCAAAGCTTCACCACGTACGATCCTTAATGATGGCGATGCCATTGCTCAGGGTGGAAGAGCTCCTTTGGGCAGAAGGGAGGGAATGTGAGTGGCGAAGGCTGCACGCATGAAGCAACAAAGTCTCTGTTCCCCTCTAAGTTCAGATGGGGTAATCCATCTGTACAGGAGATGGGTATAAAAATGACAAGCACAATCAGTGCACAAATCAACTCTCAGTAATTCAGAGAAGAGTAATTCCCTTCCCTTTGCCCAAGACACTGGTTCCTATAAAAGCAAGTAACTGACAGAGGGAAGACCAGGATGAAATAATTAAGGGAGTGATCACCTGAACAAGGGAACTGTGTTCAGGGAGGGAAAGAAACGTATCCAAAATGAACGAACTTTAGTTTATTTGCTTGTTTAGTTTTATTCTCATGCTGGCTCTGCCAGGATGCATCACCTATGAAAGCAAATGGCAAGTCATGCATGGACAAAAGGAAGTGTACATCTGCACCCCTGTGGTTCAGACACAGGAACCAAACACCTGCATATTCCTGCAACAAGCCCAGGGCAAGTTGATTCAGCCAGACACAGAGTGCCTGGAAGTCTGTAGAATGCTGTAAAATCACTTACCCACTCAAGCCTTTTTGCTTTTCCTACAGCACACATTCAAACACACAAAAACTGCTTTTCTGAATTCCTCAACTTAAAAAGATTCGAAGATGTCCCCTTTCAACATCTGCAGGCATCACAGGGTGTCTTGCTCCCCAGCCCATAATGCACTGTCATGTTTTTATACCATTGCAAATAGGAATGCAAAGTAGCAAGACAAAAACTAGCTACAGAGACTGCATGCTCTAGAAGTCTCAGAAAAGGCTCATTCATTATTAATGCCCAAAGCTTTCCTACTCATCTGGCTCACATTATGGCTGGTAAAAAGGCCACTTTCCAAGATACAGATCTTTATATTGATGCTTTCAAAGGCTCGAAAGAGGTTCTGTTACTGCCCTCAGAGCTGCAGCCGCTTCCTGTAATGAGGCCAGCAGATATGGTTTCCTGCTTTTGAAAATCCTTTTAAAAAAGATTTTCTCCAGCAGCTCACAATGCAAAAGAAACAGAAATGAATGCTAACTGACTGGGAGATCAACACTCACGTGGCCAAAAAATAGCTCAAGGTACAGTTTAGATAGGGCTTTTTTGGGTCCTATTTTTAAGACTTTTAATTCAGAGATGTGCTCACATCCCCTTGAAAGCACCAGATTTCTAACTTCTATTCTCTGCTGCCTTAAAATCACCACAAGAAGGCATGCAGACTGAACCCAGATCCTGGAGGTAATTTATCATGTCCTATAATATACTGCTCTGTACACTGCTATCAGCCATCTCGGAACAATACAAAATCCCTTTTCCTCATCAACAACAGTCTTGGAAATGGGAATTACATGAAAGACTTTAAGAGGTCTGAGAGAGCAGAGTCCAATTCTGCAGAATCCCTCAGAGCAGCCCTCAAGCAGCCATCTTGCTATCACCTTCTTTCCACAGAGCTAGGTGAGCCCTCCATTGCTCAAAACGTAAATGATACTTTGGATCTGTACAGGCTGCTTTAGCCATCATTTCAATGACACGCTTAGTAAAATAAGCCTCTGATAAGCAATTCAAGTGGAAAAAACATCAAAATCATGTCTCCTTCTAGCATCTGCAGGACGCTACCGCAGAGAATGTCCACCTTGCTCTGAACTGGATTCCAAAAGGTATGCTTCAATCAAACACATTTGGTACTAAATATGATGTGAGATTTCACATCTCCTGTGTGAGAGCTACAGCTGGATAATGTGTATAGGGCTAAGCAGCTTTTTCTGCACATTACGTGTGTTCTCTCACCTGGCTGTGTCCCAGGGCTTGGCTTTCTTCCGTGCAGGGTGCAGAAACAGGTGGGCACTGAGGCTTGCCAAACACAGTCTGACAGTAACTGCAAGAAAACACAATGTACAAATGCATTTGTATTTATGCTCAACTCGCCACTTACTGTAATGCTTTGCAGCAGCACAAGGGGGGCTGCTGTCAAGACCATTCATTCAACAAAGTTCTATTAAACTGTCTATAAAACTGCTCTGTTTGTCAAAATTGCTACAGCTTGAAAATAGAGATTCTGCACTGGGAAGACTAGCCTGACCAGGAGCAGTATACAGGAATGACTTTCCTTATGCTCCCAGAACACTCCATAAACAAGGAGATGTCTACCAAAACATCTCTCTCCTGAAATGTATTTCAAAAACACAGATCTTGAGAGTCAAAACAGATAAACATGTGGCTTTAGACACAGCCACAACATTGTCCACGATTCTACAGTAGCTTTTCAAGGCTGCCAGTCTGGGGACGTGGCTTCCCCATCCACACCTCCCCTTGGGGGCCTTGACAGCCTCTCAGAAGAGGTCACAGTCTGGGGGCACTGGGTCAAGTGGGAGACACTGGGTAGCTGATAACAGAATGTTCTCTCCCTTCATCACCAACTCAAAAGAATCTATAATTCCAACAACACTGCCCCTACTGCTCCCAGAAATAGCCCAGGGTATGAAAGGCCATAGAGGCCTAGACCAAAAGGTGCCAACTAATAGAGCATACAGAAAAAGAAGAAACAAGGTAAGTATCAAGTTGCCATTCCTTGGAATGTACCCCAGGTTCCAGCAATCAGTCTTGGGACTCCTGACATGCACAATGCCCTTAGCAACAAATTCTATGATTTAATTACGCAACATGCCCAAAAGTAGCCTCCTTTGATGCTTTTTGAACTTGCTGCCTGCCAGTGTCGGGGTGCTGGGTTATCCAGAGGGGAGAGCCTAACAGCAGGAGGATTCCTAGCACTCTGAGCTGGAATCCCAAAAATGCAGGCAGAAGCAGTAAGCTGCAATGAGCATCTCAGCACTGATTTTCTAAATCAATATGCTGGCTCATAAACGCAGTCTGTCTTGCTCCATAGAGTTCAGTGTGCTTTTCTGTTTGAAATGGGAGGCATGGGAGAGTTATATTCTGCATGAATCACTAGCTGGACTACATTCCACCTCTCCCAACTCAAGGAGTGAAGAGGATACACCACCACTATCTGTAAAGGCGAGCATCTGTTTGATGTCCCACAGGGACTTCCAGTTCGCTTGCTGGATCAGACTCTCCTGTCAGGCAGCAGGAGCAGATGGAAACAGTCAGTTTCCAGCCTGGTTCCCCCTCATACTCCCACCTCACAGCCCTGTAGATCATAAGAGGCTTGGATACAGCCCAAGTGCATAGGACTGACTGTAAAAAGCCCATAAAAGAAATCAACAGGAATTGTTCTAATAAGCTTTCAGGCCAAGTCCTTTCCAGGTGAGCACCTTTAAAAATGACACAGGCAGATTAAGGGTCCTTGTGCCGACTTGTAGCTCTACTCCTGCACTTAGAAAGCAGGAAGCCAGAGGTGCTGGCAGGGCAGTGAGAGCATAACACTGAGTTCACTCCAGATGAGTGACCTTGGCTAAATAACTTCCTTTTCTGTGTTTTATATGTAAAGCAGGGGTAACTTCACTGCCTCTGCCCTGGCTTTCCAGGATAGCAACACTCACTTGCACTACAGTTTGAGCTGTTGACTCATTCATGAGTCCCCACGAGTGATGCTCCTTCCATTATTGCTAAAGAGGACTCCGGTGACACAATACTTCTCTCTCATCAGTAACTCTGTTAGAGGGCTCTGCCTGATAACAAAGGTGATTCTTATTCACTGCCATTCACTGAGCTTTCATCTTACCTAAGACTACCCACATGAGGTCTCCTGCCTCTCTGGAGAGAAATTGCCAAAGAGCCTAGATGAAACTGCCACCTAGGCATCACTCGTTTCCAAAGAGAACAATGTTCCATAGCAGTCATGGTGTTTGGGAGAGTTCAAGGTTTTGGGGGTAGCTGGACCAGGCTGCTTAACAGGGTTTACAAATAAGAGTTCAAATAACTATATCCTCACCAGGTGTCAACAAAGCAGCAAGTCCTGCCCCTGACAGGAATACGATAAAGGGTGTGTAGATTCCTGGCACAAGTGACATAACCCAACAAGGAGACATTCACCATAGATTTCTTCTGCTGCTGGAACATATTTTAAAAATAAACATGAGCTCACTCTAGAGTCAGAACATGCAATTTTAAATCCAGCCAGAATATTGCCAGCAAGCCCCACTGGTCTTCCATGAGCTTCAGCCACTGTTTGAAACTGCAAATCCTAGAACACATACTGAGGTAGGTTTACAATGCCCTGACCTGCATTGTCAATTCAGGGTGAGGAGTGTGACATGAACACCAGCACCGAGCCAGCTGGGAAACAGAGGTAAAATGCAGAAATTATTTCAGCAGGGAACTGGGAGGCAAAACCCCACTGACCTTTACCTCTGGTGAATCACTGCCTTCCCTGGTTGCTTGACAAACCACAAAACCTCTCCATGCCTCTGCTTCCTCATCTCTAAAGCGGGAATAAAACTGCTTCTACCTGCCCCTCTGACATATTACTGACAGTGTCGTGCTAGCACAAATGCTGGACAGTGTCAAGGCAGAAGGGCTATGAAATGGAGCTACTGCTCCTGCTCTTTCAGATCAGTAAACCAAAGGAACCTCACCATATCTGTTTGGCAGTGTTTATTTTTATGTAACGTTATGGGGGTTGTGTAACATATGGAAGGTGGCATGGATTGCTGTTGGTTTGCATTCTCCGTATTTATCTCAAGTCCCAGAGAAAACCTGCAGTCTGAAACATTTATTACAGGTGGAAAACAGAAAGACAGAATAGTGCCTGTCTTTCTGTTTTCCAGTTTGGAAAGCCTGCACTATGGAATAATCTTGTCATGAGGTTACGAAGCTACAAACACTATTTTAGGATTAAGTATGGGCCCTACCAACCCAGCCCACAGAATCAGCTCTCACTGAATCACTATAGCTTATGATTTTCTGCCAAAAAGAAAAACAGGCAAACAGCTTAGAAACTAAACCTGCCTTAAAGAGAGGGGTTCATATCTTTTCTGATGAGGCTGGTCCCAGTTCTCCTTTGTGCCACCACCATAAGCCACATATACACTTACACAGCATTTCCCATTTCCAGTGCACAGATAGAAATATCTGCAAAACATGATGGACCCAAGGAGAGCCAAGCCCCTTCTTTCTACAACCCTCTTCAACAAGGGGGATCAGGACAAGGCTAATCCCACAGCATCATTGTCACTCCTGCCTGTAAGAAGCCCTGTGCTTTCCCTTCCCTTTACCTGTGGGGAAGAACAGACTCCAGGGTCCCTAGCTGTCCTTCTCTAAGGATGAAGCTTTCAACCTCTAAATCTGACTGCTGAATGATTCTTCCTGAACTGGCATCAACAAAGCCACCTTGAGGGACTCTGCTCAAGGGAGCTCTGATACCTGCTGAAATAAACGTTCGCATTAAAGACAGTTACAGAAAACACAACCCCAACCTCTGACCCATCTATTCCTCTTCTCCTTGCTCTACATTCACAAGAGCTGGGTGAATGGCAGCCACAGCATTTTTTTGTTCTGTAGACCTACAGCAAAAGCAGGTGCACATCACGTACATATCCTGGCAAGGCTATTGTTAAAAACAGAGAGAAGAAAAGAGATGGTGGGAATGCTGAACAAGACCAGACAGGAAGGAAACAGAGAGGGAGAGAGAAAGAATAAGAGGAAGGAGAAAGGAAAGTGAGAATGTGTTGCTGAAGATGTGCACTCTGTCACAGTTAAGAAGTTCCCAGCTTCTGCTCAGGCAATCTCTTGAGGGTAACAGGGATTTAAAAACACAGAAGCTTCCAACCTGACAAGGTGAGCAAACACTTGAAGGGATTCTTGCAATGGAAATGCTAAAAGGAATCCACCTTGCTGGGAAAATGCTCTCTTACAGAAGCAGTTACAGTTTAAGCAAAAGAGTAGGTAAGAATGTCTGTTTCAACACCTTAAACCTACAGGTTTTCTCACAGATACTACAGGAGCAGAATTGCAGAGCTCATATAAGCCCTGCTCCCATTTGTTATGGCACTGGAAAGCCACGTAAGTGAGCAAGAGTGTTTACAGCAAAGGGAAGAGAAGCTTGAAAACTCTTAAGGTCAATGATCTTGGTGCAGTTTTACTAACCTTCTATACTTGGGGTCCACATAGAGCCAGAGACTCCTCTGGTGCTGCAAGGGGCCTGCCACATGGCCAGCTGTTCATCTGGGAAGGTAAGAGACCCACAGGGGCACAGGACGATGTTACCCAGCTGGGGGCTGGCATCAGTACTGCTTGCTGCTTCTCTGGCCTGCAGGACAGCAGGGTTAAAGCAGGTTCCTGGTTCCAGCATAGCTTCAGGCCAAAATGATACAGGTTGTTCAGTGCTGTGAGTGGTCAAGTAAGCCTTGTTTGTCCCCGCTTCATACAGCTCACTGCTCTGCATAAAGCTGTAATGGTGGAGAAAATAAATTAGCCAAACATACTGCTTTGCAAAGAGGAGGACCCACCAGCTAAACCTTTGAATCCTGCCCTTGGTAGCTGGGAAGTTAACTGCTAGATGCTCTGACCGCCTGATGCTGGGCAGGGACCATTCCCCATATATGCAGTCAAGACTCCTAAGTTATGTCTCCTGGGAACTAACATGAAAGTCAGTTCCACAGACAACTTTAAAGGTTGCTTCATCTCTGAGCTGTCACTGTAAAGACTTTTTCATACATCACCTGGATTCCAGCATCTTTAAATATGTTCCCTCAGGAGGCTTATCCAGATCTGCAGCTGACTGGTCCCACCCTGGGTCACAGGGCATGAGAGTTATCTCCATTTGCTCAGAGTCGATGCCTACATAAGATCCATCTGAAAGGTGCAGGCCAGGCAGGTGAAGGAACACTAATAATTACTCCAAAAAGCAACGAAACAAGTCTAGTTTGCCAAATGCAGCAAGACCCTCTTATACTCCCTGACTGACATTTGGTCAAGATTCTGTGAAGGGGCATGGCAATACTGGGTTTTACTGGACTACAGCCCTGATCCCAGGATCTGAGCACTAAAACCTGCTGCCTTGCAGGTATTTGCTTTCAGTGCCCCTTCTGAGGTGGGCAGCTCTGTTAGCCTGTCCTTGCACAGGCCTTATCAATGTTTGCTCCTTCTGTGGAGTGACAGCCTCTAGACAAACAATGAGGCACTCCACCGAAGGAGAGCTCTTCCATGTCCACTTGATCCATCAGCATATAAATGCTGTTCTGGAGAAGGAATATCCTTCCTTTCCTGAGGGAATTTAAAATTAGTTTCCCGCTTTCTGGATGACATCCTAAGCCCATTAGGAAGAAACAAACCTGCAGTTTGTGGAGTGTAGAATCCTCTATCCTGCTGCTGCTTTGTGTGATAAGCCAGAGCCCTCTCAGGACACAAGTTGTTTTGCTTTTCCATACGAGGGAGGCAGGATTTTTGACGCCGTCGGTAATTTGCAAACCAGTTGTAGACCTGAGTTGGCTGCAAGTTCATGTCCTGAGCCAGCCCCTCCTGCAAACCCATGTGTAGGGAGAGATCAATGGACAAAGTATAAACCACAGGCTTTTTTTTTTAGTTCCAAATGCAACAGAGTAAAAGAGCTTTCAAACCCAGAGACATTTGTTCACTAGGTAGAGACATTTGTTCACTGGGTCTCTGACAAGTGGATCCCATTGAGGAGACTGATTTGTAAACTCAAAAGAGTTATTGGAATACACTTCCAACAACCAACAGTTGTTAGAATACTGCTCCCCTACTCAATTTGTTTGCTAAAAAAAAAAACCCCAAAACCAAACCCAAACAACCAAAACAACCCCATATACTGCTATTTTATATTGCTGTATTTAAATGG